CTTTACATGAAGAAAATGAAACTAAATGTGTATCACCTGTGTATCATTACTCTCTCTGATCCACAGAGAAGGTTAACTTCAAAATGAACCTTGCTCTCTCTACACATAGTGCTCTAACTCAGTGCGTGTTTTCCCCCCCACAACATAGGAGCTTGGTCCAGATGTGAAGCAAAATAAAAACAAGAAAACACAAACCTTCAAAATAAGATTAGGAGCACATACCCTCTCTTCTTACCATTCAAACAAACATAGAACCTAATGGTGTATTTATGATCAAGAAAAATAAACTTGCAAGGAAAAAACACAGGCATTCTTCACTTAGCTCAAGTCCATCTCCTGTGGATAAGAAAGATACAGCTGTACTCTTGAACCCATAAGGCTTGGAAATTAGGCCATTCTTCTGCTTAAGGCACTGAAGGAAAGAATTCTTGTGAGATACTTTCTCCCACGCCCCCTCTGTCCAAATCAAAACCATGTGTTCTTATTGTGCAAAAGCAAATCCAGAAAAAAAAAAAAGCCCAGAAAGAAATTAAACATGGTGTAATCATTATCATCCCAACTTGACCATTTCATTGTATCCTCTTATCTCTTGCCCTGTTTAACTTCTTTCCTCTTTAAAATGCAGCTGTCTCGTAGGCTCCCCAGTCAGAAAGGCATCCTTAGCCACATCCACTTGAGCTGGCACCCAAGATGTCACCCTCCCATAGCTAACCCACAAACCAGTGTGCATGTGTCAAAGCTATAATTATTTCTATGACAATGAAGCAAATCACGTGATCACAGGTCACTGGATTTATCCTTCTTAGAACTTCCCCTGCCATGACATCTCAATCATTCTCATATAGCACTGGCTATGTAAGACAAACCACAATTCCCACATTCCTCCTTGACTCTGCCCAGAGTTATCATCCAGCACTCCTGCCTTGTTTGTTCCTTCTTCCACTGTAAACATGCCAGATTGCTCCAGCAGAATTAATCAGCTTTGAGGCATTCGAAAAGTACAAAACAAAATAAAACCTTAAAACTTATCTAGATAGGTGAGACCACAGCACAATTAAACAGCAATACCTTCTTAAATAATAGTAATACCTTCAAAAGATTAAATTACACTTACTATAGAAGAAAAAATCCATGTATTCTTATGCCATACTAAGAGGTCCTTATGTCAGAAAAAGCAAACTACTTTCAGCATTCTCATTAACTTTACTAAAAGTACTATACAGCAAGTAGTATAGAGCCAACTGTTGAATCTCTGTGTCTTTTCTTACACAGAGCTTCCCAAAAACATCTAAGAAAATATACCACCTATGTATTTCTTCTCTTTTGCCTTAATTCAGGAAAACCATTCCTCAATTTAATGATACAAGGCAACACATTATGAAAGGAAAAACACAAAAGCCCCTCTTTCATCAATTAATACCAACTCAATGAAAACAGAAGAGATACTCTAGCTCAAAGCTTTTGATTCCTGTCCTTTTCTTCCAGCAACAGCAGAGATGTGAAGCTCGGTTCACCCAAACTAACCCCAAGTGCAATTGTTCGAATGCAGTGATACACTACCTGTCACAGCCTATGAAAAATGTATCAAGAGGAGGCTGTAGTTACATGTACAAAATCCAAACACAGAGAAATTATTATTTTGAATACCACTCTTACCCCTCACTTGAAATCCAGTAATACACATGAAAATAAAGTACTGCCTCCATCCATTAATTTCCCCAAGATTCCCAATAAACTGTTAGTAAGAATAAGTGTTTGATAATCATAATCTACTTTGCTTCCTTAAACACAGCTTTTGTGAAGGAGAAATAATGTTTCCAGTGAAAAGTACTTATGGACATATGCTAGGGAAGCTAAACATAGTACTAGGAGATGTCAGGAATAGCAAAAAGGCAAAGGAAAGAAAAAGAGTGTGAAGCTCCACAGGGCAGACCAATCACTTACACACACACTGATGATTCCCAGGCCCTTGCTCCTTCCACCTGTTGTCTGTCCCTTGCTGCTGCTTCCTGTTCTTTTCACTCCAGCTTTCTGATAAGACTTTATCAAGTAATATGCTGCCTGATCTTATCCCTTCTGAAATATTTTCAAAGGGCAGTGTGGGACAAAAGGCACAAGGCATTATGGAAACAAGCAAGTTTTTCACCCATCCCATCAGGAACTCCTGAAATTCCTCAAGGAAGGTATATTCTTATGATAGGTGCTATATCCAATATTATAATTTATTTTTTTCAAATGATAACACAAATACTTACACAGTCACCAAGAAAAGCACACCGTAACATTATTTTCTATTTCAAAGAACTGAAAGCGAAGAGAGGGGGGTGGTGGTGGCAGGGTAGCTCTCCATGATTTTGTGCAACAACCTCGCCCCATGCACAGAGCACAGCTGGACACACACATAGGGTTGTACTTAGAAGCACCAATCAGCTCTCTCCAGGATACAGAGCTCCAGTATGTCCCTTGGGAGTCACACAATGGAGCAACACTGCAAGATGCCCACGCGCACCAGACAGAAGAGAAGAGCGTCTCCTGAAGATCACCATTAGCTGCTCAGGAGAGCTCTGCTAATATACATACTGGAAAACTGGAAATACGCACTACAGAGCTGGACTTTTTACCAGGCCCAAACCTGCTCCTTAATTCCTCACTCTTTCTAATTACTTCTCACCACCTCTGTTACCCAGAGCTTACTTGCTCGACTTTTTCCATCATGAGCCACCAGCATAAACAGTTCCCCAGTCCATTAGTGTTTATTAGCAAAAGGAAGCACATTAAAAGTAATTTAAGAGTCTCACCTCACCCTCATAGAATCCATTTTAAATCAAGGAATGCTGCTGATCAGGAAGTCAGCAATGGACCACCTACTCCTCCTCCAGCCTACATTTGCCACTTCTGCCAAAGGTCTAATGTAAGAGACACCACGGGCAGCAAGGACAGTTCCTGAGGCTGCCCAACAGGCAGAGCTCAAGGTCTCTGGTCCAAAATCCTGCAGACACCCACTAATGACAGTACTGGAGTAACTCTGTGCAGATTGGGGAACTTACAACTGCACAGATGTTTGCTGCTTATCTGGCTAGAAGATTATATTCATTAGTGTAAGGTTTCAGACTTACACCAAGATTTTCAGAAATAAATGCGCAATTCTGAGTATTCTGATACACTCTACAAACCTGGGTGTTTCAGACGCCTGAGGCATTCCCTGAAATTACAATAGTAAAAAAATAACACTTACTATTCCTTAGGTGTCAAAATTGAGCGCTCACGAGTAGCATAATATTTTCTAAATTAATGACCAACACTTTGAAGTTTTCATTCCACAAGAGATGATGATATTTGAAAGTATTTCCGTTTGCCTTGTGTAAATTTTGCAAGTCTTATGGACTGTATTACCAGATATATACATAAATATTTCTTATCCTTTCCTGTCATCTATCTCTTATCTACATTCTACATTTGAAATAGATACTCATGAGTAACATGTATCATGCAAACTTGGACTTTATAATTTAATCAAATTGAAGGTTTCATCCCAAGGACTTGCTTTTACTCTTACAACAACACAGAACTCATCAGTCCATGAAGAGTAAGGACAGACCAAATGCATCTATTTGCTTTAACTAGTAATAATTCTGATATTGCTGTATCAAATAAACTTCCACTGATACTAAAAGCTCATTATAATAATTCACCACATTAGGGTTTCACTTCTCTAGATATATTACCTAGATTCTCTAGATATATTACCTCTTTCTGTTACCTTTGTCTTCCAAATCATCTTACATTGACTTTCCATTTCATATCAGTCAGTAACCTATTCAGAAAGCACTACTGTTTGGGCTTACACAAACAGTACCAGTACCAAACCTCAGGAGCTTCTGCTACTAGCCAGAACGTCTATAGAACAGATTGACGCAATACAAACAAACATCTTCTTCAACCCGTTTTAGCCCACTAGGCCATCTTCCTTCGTTTCTTACCAATCACTTTCCACATATATAGAAGGTGGGGATTACTGCATGTGTTATATTTCCTATGACTCCTTTCCCCCCTCCTTCTGCCACCTTCCCAAAGGCAATTAAGGATACACATTGCAAACAACATTGCTTTTAACGCTGGTCCCCTCACCCAAGAGGAAAATTTCACACCCTCTACACTACCACCTACGTAAATGATCATCACTGGTGGACAGGACCAGACACGGTCCAGCATTCCTCCGGTACACCGTCCGTCATAGCCAAGACTGGTTATTTTCTATGGACCACCACAGCAGAGAACACCACTGTGCTCCTAACTCCATTGAGTCCGGGCAGAACAGAGAAGACCTCAAAGATATTTAAACAGAGCACAAAGGAAGATAAAATGAACTCGGGAAGACCCAAGGACACGACCACAGTCTCTCTCAGAGGCAACACAAAGCAAAGCAGAAGAAGGAATACAACAACAACCAGGGACCGTCTTGGAGGTGCAAACCGAACAAAGAGCAAGTACCGCTGAACCCCAAAAGGTGAAGCAAGGCCAAGTGCCAGGCTGTCAGACAGCCCACAAGTGGATATCCCAAGGCAGGCGCGGAGGTGCCGTGTGTGAGGGCCGCCCTAAGGCGGGGCACCCCGGCTGCCGCCCGCAGGGGCTACAGGCCTCTCGCCGGCGGGGGCTCGCAGCCAGCAGCCCGATGTGCCGACAGCCGAGGACATATAAGGGCAGCCCAGCCCGGCCCGTCTCGCCCCAACACCTCTGGAAGGGGCTGCGGAAGGGCTCCCCGCGGGAGGCCCAGGGCCGCGGGCGGGCAGGGGCGACGTGGAGCGCGGCGGGCCGGACCCGCCCCGGCAGCGCCGCATGGAGGAGCCCGGGGCGCGGGCAGGCGGCGGTGCCGGCACGGCCGCGGCCCGCCCGCCCCTGGGGCACTCGGCCTAGGCGGCACGACGGGCCGGGCCGCCACCGGGTACCGGCGAGAGGCGGAGGGAGGCAGGGAGGGAAGGGGGTCCCGGCGTGGCACTCACGTTCTCCGTGTCCCGCTCATTGACGGTGGGCAGCGGTGTGCGAGTGGACATCGTGCGGGCCGCGGCGGCGCCGCGCCCGGCGCTCCGAGGGAAGAGGCCGCTCCTAGGCCTCGGCGGAGCCCGCCGGCTGCCCCCGCCGGCAACCGGGCGCACACGGCGGGACGCGGGGCCTCCTGCCCGCTACGCGCCCGGCGCCATCGCCTCTCCCGACCGCCCGCCTGGCTGCCCCTCCGCCCGCCTCGCCGCCGCCGGGCTCCGCACAGCTCGGCCGCCGGCTCCTCCTCCTCCCCCGCCCTCCTGCCCGCTCAGGTGAGCGACCGGCAGCGCAGGAGGGCCGCGGCGCCTCCTCACAGCATCCGGCGGCAGCACCACCAACTCCGCCTCGCTCCCCTCCCCGTTTCTCCCCTCCTCCTCCGCCTCCGCCTCCTCCCCCTGCCCGCCCCCGCCGCGCCGGCCCCGCCGCAGGAAGCGCCGGGCGGTGCGGGCGGGCGCGGCAAACGCGGACGGGCGGGCGCTGCGGTATCGCCAGCGCCGCTGTAGCCGCGGCTCCGTCACGGGCGCAGCTTGGGTGGGGGCCTGGATGGAGCGCGCCCCGGGCCCGGGGCTGAAGTGTAGTGAGACCTCATAGTCAACAAGAGGCAGGACTAATCTCTTCTGTGTGGTGACCAGTGACAGGACCCGAGAGAATGGCCTGGAGCTCAGTCAGGGGAGGTTTAGGTTGAATATCAGGACACGGTTCGCCACCCCGAGGTGGTTGGGCAGTGGAACGGGCTCCCCAGGGAAGTGGTCACAGCACCAGCCTGACAGAGTTCAAAAGGTTTTAGGACAACGCTTTCAGGCACATGGTGTGATTCTTAGGACTGTCCTGTGCAGGGCCAGCTCGGGATAGCCTGTGCCTCTGTGGGAGCCAGGTACGATGCTCGGCCGAGGGGATGGCGTGTCGCAGTGCTCAGGGCCCGCCGGGGGACCCGGCGTGTTCCTCAGCCTGGCAGGATGGAGAGGTCTCGGGGAAAGCCAGCGGAGCTCGGCGAGTCGGTGGCCTGGGGAACCCCAAACCCCCTGCGAGTGTGCTGTGGAACAGAGCCCATGGCGTGCTGGGGCCGCTGATGTTGGCTAGTGGCTTGCCAGCAGCTGTCCCTCCTTGGCTCTCCGTTGACTCTGGTAACCAGGAGCCTGAGGAAGGGCAGGGGGCCCGCCCTTCTGCCTCTTGCACGGCTTCAAGTCTGCATTACATGGATTCTCTGGAGGTTTGTGAAGCCCTGTGGCGGCATCAGAGCGTCTGTGTAAATCAAATTGTTTATTTGTGCACCTCAGCCAGCCCGCTAGCCTCCTTTACCTGCTTGAAGCTGAAATGGGATCAACAAGACTGTTCAGTGCATCCCTCCGCTCATGTCCGACGAGCTCACAGTCCTTGAACACTTAACCAGTGACCTCATGTGCTTAAAATTAGAACCATACACATTTTTGTCTCTGAGAAGTTACTAGTGTTTACACAACAGCAGCTTTTGCTGGAAAACCAGCCAAACCCTTCACCAAATTCTAAAAATAATCTGCAAAAAATGCAAGAAACCCCCCAACTTCCCCTGCACCAGAAGCAAAACAGTGGGTCTGAATTTCCATTGCAATATTTTGACAGATTTGTGTAGCTGAGGCTGTAAACATCTTCATAAATTCTGTAAACACAATCCTTGTTCTGGAAAACCTTCCTTAGGAAAACACCTGGGAAGGCACTTCATGAGTTGTGTATCTATCTTCAGGAAGCTCTTCTGTGCTCGTGAAAGAGCACTGTTATACATTACTTATAAATAACACATACATATGCATCTGTATGTATAGGTAAACACATTAGTAGTGTATGTTTAATTCTGGCTATACTAATTCTGGTGTCATTCAAGAGCTACCCCCAGCTCCTCAGCACTGGTCAGCCCACAGTGGAGTTTCCTACGTATTTGGGAAAACAGCTGATGCATGCACAGGCAGAGAACACCCCCATGTTGTAGGAGCAGTGTAACTGGACCTGATGTTTGCACATTCAGCAACCTGTTGCTCTGAGCATGCATCATTTGTCAGTCTGGAAATGATATAGGTTCCCAGCTCATCCTTGAACCAAAGCCTCCCAAACCATGGCAGGGGCTTCTGTGAATTCCTAGCTCTCTCCCCACATAGCTGGAACTACCAACTGCAAAGGAAAATTTAGGGTCCATCATTTTTCTGGGAATGAAATAATCCAAGATTGGGTTTATTCGAGGTAAGCAGCCATGGTCTAGCCAGCATGTCAAAACAAGTTTGTCGACAAACTGGATATTAACCCAGTTTAGTTGCTTAGCTCATTAAAATGCACTCACTTTTATCCCAAGAACAAGACTGTGTCTAGGGCTCTGTGTGGGGCCTGAGTCTGCAATCCTTACTTGGTCAAAGCTCCCACTGGTGCAAACTCATCCAGGTATGGATTTGTGTATGCACCTGTGGTCAGAGCAGAAAGAAGTGTAAGCTCCAATGTCTTCTAAATGTGTTTAATGGCCCCATTAACTAAGGCAAAGCTTAGAGTGACTTCCTGCCTTACAATTTGGATAAGCATTGGTCAGTATTTCGTAGGAAAATTTAATCAGAAATTGAAAGTGTAATAATGTAATAATTCTTGTTATCTGAAGATCTGCTTTGCAGTTGTTTTTGCCATGGTTGTTACTGTTATCTTCTTTCATGTTACCAAGGTCAGTCTTCATTTAATAGCTCTATTTAATTTTGTTGTGTTATTACTACAGGCTTCATGTTTCCCCCAGGTGGGAAAATGCAGGGACAATTACTGAAGAGCTGCATGGAAGAGAAGGTGACCACAGAGATGGTCCTGTCATAATTCAGTCACTCTCCAAAGAGACAAAGCAGAAGAAGGGCAGTGGGCTGAGCATAAAAATGGCCTGGAAGGAGAAAGCTTTAAACTAGCTGAGACCTGCAACTAAAATATGCCAAAAGTTATTGCTGCTTCAAGTAGCATTAAGGTCTGCTTAGTGCCCAGCAGGAACAGTGTATGTTTAGTGAGTGGCTTCAGCTTTGGCACTGAAAACCTGGATATTCCACTACCTTACCAGGACACAGATCCCATCCAGTACTGTAGTACTGATTTCAGACCCTGGGTTGAATGAAACCTTCTCCTACAATTTTCAAACTCAGTTCTCAACAGCAGAAAGGTAAGAGGCTCAGAAGTAACACAGGAACAGGTCACCACTGAGATGTGAATAAAACAGAGCAAAATCATGCTCTTTATTGCCTTTCATTACACCAAGACATCTACAGTAGTGTGGAAAACTAAATGAAAGACCTGGCAAATATGAAAGAGTAAAATACCTCCAGCTGCATGCAATAAGGCTTCAATAGCATGAAAGAGTCCTGAGGTCATTACAAACTACAGGTACAGGGCTCCATGGATTGTTTACTTTCATGAGGGACACCGGAAAAAATGACATATACTCTGAATATGTGTAGACTTGGCAAATATGTTAATAGTTACAATCAAGATTCTGATTTTGTTTAAGAATCATTAGGAAGTCTTAGTGAAAAGTTAAGTAACTTATAATTTGCCCTAATACTTTAAACCTGCAAGCAAATGAGGGGGGATTTTAATACCAAGCCATACCTTTTGGGAATACTCTTATCATGTGTGTGCAAAAACCTCCCCAAAATGTTTAAATACATTTAACAGGCCAGAAATTGTCTCAAGGTCAGTTGTACTTAAATTTAGTAGTTAAGTTTGTGTCTTCACTTTCTTTGGGTAACTGAAGGTTTTTATTGTTTCATTACAAAGAACTGCCCTAAGGATATCCATGTAAGAACTTTGTATGAAAATGGTAAATAAAAGCAGCATTTGTCACTGATTAGCCTGGACATCTGGAAGAAGGATAATAAAATCACAGTACAACTTTATAGTTGCAGAAATTTGTTGCACATCCCCAAGGCCTCTAAAATGGTATCAGAAAATTTACTTCAGAGAAGAGAGAATTATCTCTTAAACACATGGGTTGCCAGTGGTCTGAAGAAGCTTGTAAGGGCAGTTGCTCTGTCCCTGGGCATGTCTCTAAAAAAACAGAAGGGTCTTGTAAACTGGTCCCACTATATCAAAGATCTCTGCACTGTCTCTTAATAATCATAGCTAAAAATAGCTAGTTTTGATTGTTTCCTTCAGCTTTGATATCTCGTATTTCTTTTGATGCCCGCAATCTCTTCAGCCATACAGCCAACTTCTTCCCACATCTGAAGAGATTCAAAAGGAAACTAGCAAGCCGCCATAGCACTGAGGTAGAACCACAATGAAACCTGGGGCAATAGCAACTCTGTGAATTTCACCCCTTGTTTTCTTTTGCTGCAGCATTTTTTGACTATTGTGGCTTTTAGTAGTGGTTTCAAACTTACTTTTAAAAAAAGTTTAATTTTCTTTCTTTCCTTTTTTTTTTTTTTTTTTTTGTAGGCTGAATTTAGATTAGTGTCTTGGCAGAGGAGGTAAGGCTTGAATCATTTTCATGCATCAGCACTGACAATATAATTTTTGCTATTCATTTTTTGAGAAACTAACATTCTTAGAAAAGACTAGCAGAGAGTAATAATGAAAACAATGTAGTATGTTGGAAATATCTGTAATGAATATGCAATACCTTGGTATTCCTTTTATCTGAAAATATTTGTTATGTAAGCATGTTAAAGAGTAAAATAACTATTTAAATCTTCATGATCTCCTATCATAGTCGTATCTGAGCTATCACATGAAACATAATGCACCTCTACATTTGAGCTGGGAAGCTTCCTGAGCTGCTGCTAAGCTGTAGATCTGAGGAGCAGAGGGTCTAAATGGTCTGTCCAGGAGCAGAGAGATAACCAGGGACAAAGGAGACAGCAGACTCACTAGAAGCAGTCCTCAGGGACCTTCTGGATACAGTTTTAAAACCAGCTTTAGATAACCCCAGGAGATGGGGCGGATGGTAGAAAGCCTGCAACAAGACTCCTGGTGATCTGCCATTGATCTTCAGAGGGCCACCAGAGACCAGAAGTGGGGGAAGAGTTGGGAAAGGCAATTAACCTAAGTGGTCACAGATGTTCTCACTC